TCAGGGTCCTGTCCTGTGGTTGATAAATAACCTAAGTTGCGAAGGCTCCCCAACCCCCCTCACTCTCCCCCGGATTCCACAGTGTCCAGGTGCCCAGCGGACATCATACCTGAACGTCCGCATGTGGTGGGGACCAGCAACCATAGCCGGCTTTCTGCTGGTGACCAGGTGCCCACCGTGCTCCGAATGAGCTCAGCAGAAATGAACCCTGAGGACCCGCCACCAGGCAGCGAAGCGGCGAGGAGTTCTGGACCCGCAAGTCGCCCAACTCCCCCGCTCACCTCCCGAGCCTCAGCTCCTGGCCTCCACAGTCAGGTGAGGACACCCATGTGCTGACCTGCGTGCAGGAGAGCGCGAGCGCGGCTTCCATCCTGTGCTTCTCAGGAGCTGTCCCTGCACCACGGCCTGTGGACAGGCTCGTGGGCGCTGGGCCTTTGGGGAGGACCAGCTCCTGGGCCCACACCTGCTGTGTTCTCCTGACCCTCTGCTGTCTGGCCCTCCTGCCTCCCGCCTCCCGCCTCCCGAGTCCATGACTCACCCACTGATGTCAGGGCCTCTTGCTGCTCTGGTGAATCACATTCAGACACCAGGTTCTTCTGAAATACACTGTGGCCGCGTCCCACGTGCTTGTCAGTGTTGTCATTTCTGAGTGTTTCTAGTTTCCAGTTAGGTTTCTTCTTTGGTCGCTGAACCATCTAGAGGAGAGTCTTTGTTTCCAAATGACTGCATTTCTTTCATCATCACAAGGGTTTACTGAGGGCGTCTCATGGGGAGTCACTGTGTTCTGGGTGCTGGCCATGCACCAGAGAGCACTGTGGTTCCATTTGTGGACTTTGGGTACACACGCATTTTCAACATGTTCTGAAGTTTTAATTCTGCAGTTTTCCCCTTGAATATCAGAAAACACACCCATGCATTTTCATAACCCTTTGTTAAGGTCACAGGCCCATGAAGCAGGGTGCCTCCTGGTTACAACAGCCCTGCTGCCCAGCGCCACAAGGCCACCTCCTCCAGGAAGCCCTCTGGAGTGCCTTCAGACTACACATGGGGCTGGACGAGGATGCCACCTACCCCTACCCCCTTCCCAGGGAAGGGTCCAAACCAACAGTGCCTTCCTTCACCCAGTCCATCTACTTCCTGGGTTGGGCTGGCCAGGCTTTGAGACACCTTGGGAGAACCAACTCGCTGGCCTTCCCTGCCAAAGCCTGACATGACAGCAGATGTGTGCATTGAGCCCCTCACTTCACCCCTTGAAGGACTGAGGGGTTCACATAGGAGGAGCTACTCCCCTGGTCCCTGGGCAGCCTGGCCACAAGGCCCCACGGCTCTCCGGGCTTCAGAGGCCTCAAGCTGAGCTGGGAGCCCAGCAGGGGTTTGAGCTGCAGGTCTGAGCCGCAGGCCTCTGTGTCCACGTGCAGAACACTGAGGGGCCCAGCGGAGCGCAGGGGCCGCCCTGGGACCGGCACTGCCCCTCAGCCCGGGAGCACCCGAGGTCACAGAGTGGGGCCGACCGATCGCAGGCTCAGGCTCCCTGCTCTTCTCTTGACCTCTGCCCTCCCACTGCCCCCAGGCAGGCCCTGCACCCCCAGGACGTTAGCCTCACCAAGCCTGCTGCTGAGGCCTGCAGGGAGAGGCCGTGGTGCACGTCTGGGCACATCCTGGACGCAGCCCCTGGAGGGGAAGGGGCTTGACTCCCTGGAGTTTTCAAGGACTTTTTCATAGTTGATTCTGACCTTAATGGACTGTTATCAGAAAGCATTCCCTCATGATACTGATTCTCGAGTGTTCGTTGAGATTTGCTTTCTCCCCAGGATACGGTCGGTCTTCCTGCCGGCGGCACATGTGCCTGAAAAGCCTGCACGGCCTCTAATGAGCGGGCAGAGCGTCCGTGTGTGAGCCCCACTCGGCCCATCAGCATTCGTGGGGACGTCTGTGAACCACGCACCTCTGTACCCCTCGCTGGTTCCGACGTGCAGGACGGAGGTGCATCGCACCCCACTCAGGCTCTGCCGGTTTGCGTGTCGGTCCTTTGAGTCCTGTCGCTTCCCAGGGCCGGCATCCCTGACAGCCGGGTCCCCAGGGCTGCTGCCCCACGCCTGCCTCCGGCTTCCCTGGCCAGCACCCCTCCGGTGCCGCTGCCCGTCCGACACTGAGACGGCCTTGTCACAGCTGCTGCAGGCAGAGCTCACTCACTTGCACTTAAAACCACGACTTGGAGCCGGTAAGTCTGGTCCCTTCACAGTTACTGCAGCTACTGATGTGCTTGGGTTTCTCTTCGCTGTCTTCCTTTGCATCGTGTTCGCCTGGCTTTTCTTTTTACTGAGGCAGGAACACGTGAGAGCTCCCCTCCTACCGCCTTGTGAGCACAGCCCAGTGCTGTTAGCCACGGGCATCTCTGGCACGGACCTTCCTGCACACCTGGACTGTTTGCACCTGGTGGACTACAAGCCCCGCCCCTGGGACCCACCGTTCTACCCTCTGCTGTTGAGCCTTTTTCAGTGATGCCCTGAAACTCCAGGAAGCTTGGCTGTCATGCTGCCCCCTCCCCTCTTAGCTCTGCCCCTCTGCAGCTCCTGGACCTTCTCCTTGGGGGCTTTTGTCCCCTCAGGCGGCCCTGCTGAACCGGGGATGCCTCCCCTCAGCCTTAAAGACCTGTGGTCAGTCCAGGGAGGCAGCTTCTCAGCAGAACCCAGGTGGGGCTGGAGCCTGGAGGTCCCAGGCCCGGGAGTCCTCTGGGCCCGCGTCTGGGGAAGCCCCCACCCGCTCCAGCCTTCATCCCCGTGTCTGAACTATGTGAGCATCAGATGCCGACCGGGGGCCCAAGAAGGAGCCCCTCCACCAGCCAACGAGGGTCCCAGGGAGAGGCTGCTCCGGCAACTGTGAGGACCCCCATGAGCCGTGAGGTGGGCGGGCTCGAGGGCACCTGAGCGTCTGGGGTGTCTGCAGTCCCTCTGTGCAGCCTGGCCCAGCTCTGGTCTCCCGTCACTGTCCTGTCACTGCGGCTTGACCCCGCAGGCCCCTGCGATCTTCGTGGACGCTGCCTGCCGGACCCTGGGGAGAGGCTCAGTCCCTGAGTCGGCTGGAGGAGGCAGTCTGCAGCCGAGGCCACTGTCACCTGGAACTGGCAGGGGCAGGGCCTGAGCACCCGAGTTGAGCTCAGGTCTTCCCTGCCCCAGACGCACCAGGATGATTTCCAGGCATGCATCTTAAACTCAAGGTCCTTCGGGGCTTCTGCTACGTGTCCAAGAGCTATCCAGGGCCCAGAGACCAGACCAGACGCCACAGTGCCCACGTGCACTTCAGGAAGCAGTGGGAATCAGTAAGGTTCCTGGCGAGGAGCGCTCAACAGAAAACTGGAGCGGGACAGTGGGGGCCTTGAGTCTCAGGGGGCCAGGGAGGGGCAAGAACCTGACCTTGTCCCCAGCCTGCTGACTCCCGTACCACCGTCCGTGTCCATGCCGGGAGGGGGTGAGGACCCAGGCCGGTCCCCCAACTGGACGTGAGGTCACCCTGTTGGGATGAGCCTCTCCCCGCATCACGACACAGGGGAGCCCAGGGAAAATGTGGTGCCAGCCATCTCGGGACCGTGACCCTCCAATGTGGACATTCATGGGGACAGAAAGTCAGCAAGATCACCTGGGAAGAGCCTGGGAAAGTGCTGAGGGAGAGAGCTCACCCTACCAGCCCCCAAGACGCGCCTGCTGTGGCACTGCCGCAGGAAGGAAGGCAGACCTTTGTAAGGAGACAGAATCCTGGAGGGCACGTAGGAAGGGGCGGATGCGGCCCCAGAGCAGCCAGGTCTCCGCGAGGGGGGCCCCTAATCAAAGGCAAGGGAAACGTGAACGGCGGGAGGTTGTTTGCTCTGCTGGCTGTCTTCACGGTGAGTAGTTTCTACAGCTCGGGTTTTTACAAGGCAAAAAAAAAGGGAAGTGGCGTGAAGAGACAGTTCACAATGAAAAGGAAGCAGCGATGAAGCGATGAAGCGTGCTTACTTGCCCGGCTCCCAACAGACATGCAGAGTGTAACCGAGAGCAATGTCACCAAGCACCTCCCGCCTCGGCCCCAATCAGGGCCGTGGCCGCTCGTGAAGGTCAGGAAATCTCAGAGAGTCTCGCTGGGGGTCCGTGGCCGCCTTAGACACGCTCTGTAAGAGCTCGGTTGCACACAGGCGACCAACAGCATGCTTGCATTTGGGAACAAAGTGCGTTAACAACCCTCCATGGGATCTTCCAAATTTGCCAAAGCAGAAAAACATGAGTGCCCATCCAAAAGAATTTGAATATAAGCCATGATGAGTCCTTAAAACCCAGGTGACACGGCCATTCAACAGGACACACGCTCGAGGTGGGAGAGGAAGGTTTCTCATCTACTGGTAAGTGAGTAACGCCCAGTGAAACCGTGGGGAGGTCCCGTGCACACCTGTGGAACACAAAGCACCGGTGAGGGTGGGAGTCCTGAAGCCATGACGATGGGCTGAGGGCTGCTGGGAGAGGGACCGGCCTCCTGTGGACACTCGTGGTGACAGGCCCTCCCCCTGCGGTGCTAGACCTTCCAGCCAAAGGGCTCAGAGCTGACCAACCGCTGACTGGAGCCTCATAGTGCCTTAGAATGGCAGGGACCCCACAGTTCCACTCGCGGCCTGGCACCCACTCTGCTTCGTGTCTCATGGTATCTGACCTGCTCTGACCCTCGCCTGCCCTTCTACAACCCACCCACTTAGACATCTTGGCTGTTGTAGGAGGAGGGAGAGGGCGCTGCAGGAAGAAGGGAAGGCTTACGTGGAAGATGGAGGAAGAAAAGAGATTGATATGGGAGGAAAGATGGATGCAGGGGATGGAGGAGGAGGAGAAGGGCAGGACCAGGAGGAGGACCTGGAGATGGAGGTGGCAGGTGGAAGAGGCAGATGGAGGAGGCGGGTGGGGGGAGGACAGTCCAGGCCAGCCCAGACATCCTGTATAGGGACAGGGTGTGGTCCCCGTATGGGTTGCACTCAAGTGGGCCCCTAGTACTGCCCATGGACCCAGGGAACCTCGGAGATCTGGGTGAGGCCAGTGTGGGAAATGGCTGTACTCATTAAGTCAAACCCCAAAGGCTTAGGCCTGATGTCAGTGTCCTGCCGGCACCACTACGCTCGGGGGTGAGGAGCAAAAGAAAGCCGGTCCAGGTCAGGGGACTGGCTGGTCCTACAGGGACGGGTGCAGGCCGGGCTTCCGTGTCCTTCCTCAGCATCCCCTGTGTGGTGACAGGACCCTCCAACTGGGCCCTTGACCTCAGGGTTATTAGTGGAGACCTTGTCCCGGATCCATCCTGGGTGGGAGTGGCAATGGCCCTCCACTTCTGCACTCTGCCCGGTACCCACTCTGCTTCGTGTCTGTAGGCATTTCACGCCCTCGTGGTCTCTGACCCGCTATGACGTTCACCTGCCCTGGTTCCACCCATCGGACGCGACCCCTGCTCCCATCCTGGATGGTGCTGCTGGTCCAGGAGCGAGAAGTCCTAGAGGTGACCATGACCTGCCCCTCCTTCCTTATGAAACCCTGATGGACAGACACCATTCGGGGCTGACTTGGACCTCCCTGGGCTCTCGCCTCGACGAGGCTGATCCCTAACACTGTCCCTGAGCTAGGCTCTCGCAGCCGCCTCCTAGCTCTGTGGGTGAGGCCTGTGATGGAGGTGCCATGTCCCCTGTGAGGAGTCCCAAAACAGAGCATCAGTATATTATGCAGAAGAGGAGGAGGGAGCAGAGGATGCAGGAACGGGTGGAGGATGAGTGAGACGTGGAGGAGCAGGAGGAGGAGATAGATGGAGGCCGGGGGAGGGGACCTGGACGACACAGGAGGAGAGACGGACGTGGGAGTGGGGAGGGAGGAGGCAAGGTGATGGGGAGGAGGAGAGACTGGAGGAGATGGATGGAGGGGATAAAGGGGGAGGCAAGGTGGACGGAGCTACAGGGGATGAGCAGATGGAGGAGGAGGGGAGGCAGGGGAAGATCATGGCGGTTCCAATGCAGGGAAGGAGGACAGGGACTTGGGGGCCAGAGGGCTGGAGGAGGACGGTGGAGAGGCCGGAGGAGGGATGAAGGCTGGACAAGTGATAGACTAGTCGGTCAGAGGGGAGGATGGAGCTGAGGGAGAGATGGGGTGAAGAAGGGACAGGAGGACCTAGGAGGGAGGGGAGGATGAGGGCAGGGCCTAGGGAGCCCTCCAGAGCTGCTGCTCACCTCCAGGCCCTGTGCTGTGTGAGCTGGATTCCAGACGTGTCCCGTCCGACCTGCCCAACGTTCAGGGACACCTGGCCAGGTGAGGGCATTTTCCCTGTCGCCTCCCTTAGTGCAGCGCCGGCCCCCAGTTCTCTAGATGTGTCACCCGCCCCATCTCCCAGGCGTGGCCCTGAGCGACCGCGCCTTCTGTGTGTCCTCCGGGGACTCACGTGGCTGGTCCCTGAATGGGCACAATGAGGCCTTTGCCCTCCGCCGCGGTCAGAGCTGTGGGCGGGAGATGGTCTCTCAGCATAGACACTGCCTGAGTTCAAACTTGCCATCCTTTCCCCAGGCCAGCCCCTCTTGCTCGGCCATTCCCTGAGCTGATTTCACAGCCACCGCCAGTTAAGAGTGAGGTCGAATGGAGCAGACACGAGCACCGTGGCCTGGGGACCCCGTTCCGGAACCCTGCACCCCCGCGTTGGGTGTCCCTGGGGGCCCACAGGCCCAGGAAGAGCTCAGTGGGCAGGAGCCAAGGTGTGTCCATCCTGGGAGCGCCTGGGGTCGTTCTAATCCGTGCAGTTTCTCAGCTGGCGCCTCCAGGGTCTCCTGGGGCTGAGCCGGTGGGGACTCTGGCTGAGAGAGCTGCTTTTCTTAGATCCACGCATCATCAAATGTAGCTGTTAAGGTCTACTTTTCAGCGGTTTTCCGAGTGTTGGTGGAGCTCTGCGACCGTCACCGCCGTTTCCACAGTTCACTGCCCCGAGGAAGAGCCTCTGATCACGGGCAGAGAGGCCCCCAGCCGGCACCCCCGGCCCCTGGCGCCCACTGACCCACTTCCTGTCTCTGCACATTTCACGTCAAGGGACTTGTCCGTGGTCCGTGCGTCCAGTTTCCTTCCGTCAGCCTGATGTCCCTGCATGTCCGGTCCCCACTCTATGGGTGACTGTGCCCCTGCAGGGACAGACCACGTCTTGTTCTTCCGTCCGTCCGTCCAGGGACCCTGGATTGTTGCCAGCTTTTCGCTGTGTGAGTGTTTCCCTGTGCACGTGTCTGCACAGGTGTCTGAGTGCCTGTCTTCACCTCTTTGGGGACACACCTAACACGGACTTGTTGGGTCATAAGGTGACTCCACCTTTACCTTTTGGAGAAACTACCAAACTGTCCACGGCAGCTGCACCACGTTACAATCCTGCCGGCAACACAGGAGGCCCCAGTGTCTCCCCATCCTCGTTCTGCTGGTGGTAGCCAACTCCAGTGGGCGAGACGCCCTGTCCCCCTATGGTTCTCCTGACGGCCACTGACGTCGAGCGTCTGTGCCTGTGTGCCTTGTTCTCTGCAGTCGAGTGGACTTGGGAGAGATGTCTGTCCGAGCCCTTTGTTCGTTTTCTCCAAGGGCTGTCAGTCTTCTGATGGCTGAGTGCTGAGTTGTTACACACACTGTAACCTCACCAGGTAGGGGGTCTGCGAACGTTTTTATGCACAGTGACGGTGGTCTTTTCACTTTCTTGATGGTGTCATTTGAGGCACAGAAGTTTTTAATTTTGATAAAGACCAGCTGATTCTCTTTTTCCTTTCGATGCCCGGGCCAGATGGGACCCCCGCTGACCCTGCTGCAGCCCCGGACCAACCGGCAACCGCCTCTCCTTGTCTCAGTGCTCCAGCTCAGCAGTCGGCCTGGGCTTCCAGCCCACTCCTCGCTCCTGGCTCCCCACAGCCTCCCCCACCCCCCGGGGCAGAGCTTCGAGGCGGCAGGGAGCGGTCTGTGAGCGGAGGGGAGCGTGAGCCTCGACCCACCTGCCCTGGATGTCGGCCACCCCAGCGCCATCTTCCTCTCCAACCAGACCGACTGCCGAGTTGCCTCCACGGCGCCAACTCCACACCGTTGGCTCTCTGGCGCTCTTCAACGCGGTGGCGTCTTTGGAGTTTGTTGTCTTGCAGCATCGGACCTGGAGAAGCTGGAGACCATCCTGGTGTCAGAATGGGCAGAAGTAACAGCCAGATACGCCAGATGCAGGTGAGGCCCTTCCGGGGTCAGAGCCAGGGGAAGTGGGTACGACCCCGGTGGGAAGCAGCAGTGCAGGTGGGGCTCTCAGGCAGCAGGAGCAGGTGAGGGGGGCCAGTTTGGAGCTGGGCGACCTTCAGAAGGTGCTGGGCTTCCTCAGCTGCAGGGAGGGAGGAGCCACCCTGCCCCTCCTCCTCCACACCTGGGGCTCCAGGCTTGCCCTCACCACGAGGCCCCCCAGTGGACCCATGGGAAGATGCTGACCTCTGGCTCCACAGAGTCACCGACCATCCAAGTTTGTTGTGGTGAGTCATCTGGACAGCCCTGCAGCTCATCTTGGGGACGATTTCCACTGGCAGAAACAAGTCTCTGGAGGCAGGACCCATCTCCCCAGCACAGGGCCTTGGGCCCTGGTGGCCACCGCGGGTCAGAGTCTGCACCAGGCTTGAGCTGAGGGAACTGGGGGACTGGCAGGGGCAGAGCTGGGCGCTGGTGCAGGCCTGGGCCTCAGCCACATGGTCTCCACGCCTGCCTGGGGGAGGGGCCGGGGCATCTGGTCAGCAGTGGCTCTACAGCAGGTGGCCACAGGGTGATGGCACCTGGACACAGCTCTCCGAGGGCTCCAGGGGCCCAGGCGTGCACCCTTGGGGGACGGGCACGAGGGGCAGTGACAGGTGCGCCTCAGGCGCTGGAGGGACTGTCAAGGGTGCTGGGCAGGTAGGACCCGGCCTCAGAAGCTCAGGGACGGTGAGGGAGGCAGGTGGAGTTTGCAGCCGAAGATGACCTGCCCCAGGGTCTGGTGCGGGGAGGAGATTTGGGAGAGGAGGCCAGGCCCGGTGGGGGACAGCGGGGACCAGATGACCCTTGTGTGTACCTAGTCGGAGCTGGCCTGCAGCGGGGCTGAACTGCTGTGGGAGGGCAGCCCGGAACAGGGCAAGGCCTCGGGGAACAACTCACCTGAGACACCTGGGCTCTCAGGCAGACGAGGGGAAGGGGAGGGGCAAAGTGGGGTGACCTGCATCAGCAGGAGGGGGCGCCTCTTGAGGGGGCTGCTGTGGGACCGCAGCCCCTCCTGAGCCAGCACCAGGCATCTCAGCTCCCGCAGAGGATCCCGCCTCCAGCCGGGCTGTGTCAGCCCTCTGCCCGGCCACCAACACCCTCCTAGGGTCAGCCATTCCCGTGGAGTCTCTGGGGATGAGATCTTGGGGTTGATGGGGGTGGGCCTGGGCCTTTGGGGCAGCTGGCCTGGTGCAGGTCCTCGCGGCTCTGCGTCTCCTGCCTTCCAGGGAGGAGCAGCTGCCCAGCCTCAGCATCCGAGGCCCCAGCACCCATGAGGCAAGGGTGAGCACCCATCCTCACTGCCCAGGCAGGAGTTGGGAGGCAGGAGGCGGTTGTGGGCGGCGCTGTCTCCGCCCCTGACTGCAGAGCTGTCAAGAGGCGTCCTTGAGCTGTGAGGGGCCTTTCCTGGCTCCTTGAGTTCACTCACAGCAGGGCCACGCTGGGAGAGCTGGCAGCCTGGCTAACACCACCAGCTCCCATTTTGCAGCAAAAGGCCCAGGCAGCAGCCAGGCCTCCGTCGGCACCAGGAAGTGCTCTCCAAAGCCCCGCGCCTCGGAGAGGAGAGGGCCCGGCGACGGCCGGCGCGGAGAACAGCAAGGCAGGCGCGGGCCGTGCGTCCCGAGGTGGCCACCCCTCGGCCCGCACCGTCCTCTCACCGGGAGACACCTGGCTGAGCGGCCCCTGCTCACCCCCGAAGCTGGGTGCCCCTGTCACAACCTTGGCCCAAGGAGTGCGGCTGTGTCACTGGAGCTCTGAGGCCAGGCCCTGGTGACTCAGCGCCACCTGCCCTCGGGGCCCGGAGCCACCACCCGAAACGTCCACCACCCTAGGGCCACCATGCTGCCGGCCTCACAGAGACAGGAGCCCAGGGTGTGAGGACGAGTGTGAGGGGCCCCGCCGCCCCCGGCACCTGCAAACCTGGCCAGAGAGTCTGGGAGGTCTCCTGTTATGGGCCAGGTGGGCGTTGTGTTCGACCTGTTATCCTAGAAGGCAGTCCATCGGGTATGTAGACAAGTGGATGGGGCTCTGTTCCAACGGGTGACTCCATTTTAAACTGCTGGCTGTTTTGCAGGATGGGGGACTCGTTTAATGGCTTCGGAGAATCACACCACCATAACTGGGGAAGGCCGTGGACACTAGGGAAGAGGCCAGTCGAGTGAGAGAGGAGACACTTAGGAAAGAAAAAACTGACAACCAGAACTGTATCTCACTTTAAACCTTTCACTCTGCAAAAGGCCCTGTTAAGAGAATGTAAAAGAGCTACAGACTGCGAGAAAATCTTGGCCAATCATGTACCTAATAACGCTCTTATGCAGAATAGAAACAAAAACTCTAAAACCCAATAATAAAACACATGAGCCCATTAAAAATGGCCACAAGATATGAACAGACAGTTCAACAAAGGATACACACACACACACATACACACATATAATGCAGATACACGGTGTCTGTATGTACACAGCAGACAAACACAGGAAAAATGCTTATTCTGGAAACAACACGGTGCCACCTCACACCTGCTAGAAAGGCTGAGACCCGGAGCAGTGGCAGCACCAAATGTGGAGAGGATGTGGAGCAACAGGAACTCCCATCCATCACTGTTCGGGATGCAAATGGTGCAGCTGCTTTGGAAGACAGTTTGGTGGTTTCTTAGAAGACTAACCATCTGTTACCATGAGATACATTAATCATGAGTTACCATGAGTATCTTCCCAGATAACTGAAAATGTGTAGCCACGTAAAACCAGGATGCAGTATTCACTGCTTCATGCATGATCACTAAAAACCAGAAGCCGCCAAGATGGTGTCCAACTGGAGAATGGACAGACTGTGGAATTCCCTAACAAGGGACTACAGGTCAGTGATGCTACTGGTTCACTCAACAGCTTGGATGAATTGTAGCCACATTCTGCTGAGTGAAGAATCCAGACCCGTGTAGGACTCCGCTCACATGACGCCCTGGAAGAGGCACGGCCGCGGGGAAGCTGAGAGTCAGCGGGCCCCAGGGCTGATGGAGCGGGGCCCAGCTGGACCAAGGCTGTGCCCGCTCCACACGAGATGGAAACCACGGAGCTGTACGTCCCAAGACTGAACTGTTAGGTAGGCAAACTGAAAAAGGAGAAAATAAAACCTCGTCAAACTGGACACCTGGCACATTTGCATTTCGGTGAATGTAGACTTTACTCCAGAAAAATGTTAACACTGAGGCACCCGGAAGATTCCCTGGCTTTTCTGGCTTATTTCCGAATCACGCCTGTTGTGTCATCAGGGTGTGCAGACAAAATACCGTGAACAGCATCCTCTGGAAACTGTCCTCTGGTCCCCTCTGTCCCATGTGCTGGTGGCCTACTCCGTGCACAACACCACGAGCGTCCCCGTCAGGTCGCAGGCACACAAGGTCACAGGGACGGGGCAGGGGGGCTCGCTAATCTCAAACTGGGATGGAAAGGCAGGGGTGCAGACTGCGCTCTGCACAAAATCGGCACCTCCTCCCGGGCTTCACGAGCCCAAGCTTGGCGGAGCTTCCAGGTGGCTGCCTCGGTGCCAATGTCTCAGGGCGAGGGCACGCCTGGCCGAATGAGCACTGCTGCAGTCAGGAAACTTGACTCTGCTCCTGCAGAGGCCACATCACCACTCAGAACCTTAGCGGGGGTGCAGGTTCCCAGTGACCCAAAGTCCCATGTGACCCACCGGGAGGCAGCTCCCAATGGCTACTCCTGCCCCACCCACTCTTTCCAGAACATCCCCTCAAGCGACACCAGCTGAGATGGCCCACGGGACACCCACAGCCGGCTCCTGGGCCAGCTCCCTGGCCACGTGCCCTCCCAGGCACCCATGTGTGCCCCAGTCAGGGCTCCACCTGCCCGGACAGCAGGACCTCTAGCCCAGATCCCACTCACTGCCCTCCAAGCCTCATCTGAGAAAGGGGACCCAAGGATGGTGCCCAGAGCTCCGTGGTGCTGGTGCCTGGGCTGGGCTGGGGCTCTCCTGGTGTGTTTCCTGGGCCGGGTGGGCCGGGTGAGTGCAGCTGAGCCAGAGCCTGTCCAGGAGCTGAGGCGTGAGTGGGGTGGGGGTGAGGAGGCCTTGGGGGTCCCTCCTGCGGGTCTGGCCTTTGCAGGAGGTGAGCTACCGCCAGGGCAGGAACCAGGTTGTGGCCGTCCTGTTCATGTTCTTGAGTGAGGAGGACGCCTTCTGGGCACTGGCCCAGCTGGTGACAGACCAGAAGCACATTCCATGCGTGGTAGGTGACTGCTGTGGACCGCTGGATGTGACTCAGGGCCAGGACAGTCTCCCTGCAGAGTTCAGCCAGCAGTGGGGCTGGCAGGGACCCTGCCCCATCCACGTCCCCATCAGCGAAGGGCACGGCTCCCCACGCTGCCCTCAGGGTCTTGCAGGCGTGGCCCTGGGTCCGGTCCCCGTCCAGATGCCTCTCACACCCCTGCTGGTCCTTCTGCCTTCTGTCTGTCCCCCCACCCATCCACCCTCCAAGCCCATGGCCTGAAGAAGCCCAGGTGGCTGAGTACCCCTCCTGCACCCCCAGCCTGCTCCCCAAGCCCAGAGGCCATGCACCCCATCCCACCCGTGGGCAGCACTCCTTGCCCCTCAGTGCTGGAACCCCCATCCCCGTGCTGTGGCCACTGTGGGGAGGGGGCTTGCCAGGGCCGAACACCTGCTAGGCCCTCAGTACAGGGTGAGCGGCAGCCAAGCTGAGACTCTGGGAGCAGGTCCTCTGCCCCAGACACCAAAGGCAGGCCTGCTGCCTGGGCAGACCATGTCCAGCCCGGGCTCAGGAGGGCCGTGGGCAAGGCGGGGTCACTGTGGGGAGAGGCTTGGGCTCCTGAGGCACCCACAGTCCTCACCTCACTGGGAGGGGCTCTGACATGTGGGGGCTTGGGGGCTCTCAGGCTTCTTTATCCCGGGATCCCCAAAACTGCTGAGATTCCAGGCTCATCACGAGCATTCTTCGCAGAGCCCTCCGCAAGCTGAAGCGGCACATGATGAGTAGCAGCGTCCCCCCAGAGATGTGGTCCCCCTGGCGGGGTGGGGGCCCACCCCTGCAGGTTTCACTTTCCTTCTCCTTGGGGGGCCAAGTGGCCCACAGAAGGGAGGCTTCAGCTGACCAGGCAGGCCCTGAGCTGTCATGTCCCCCATCAGGACAAGGAACAGATGTCCACTGGCATCCACACCACCAAGTGGTTCCTCCAGTGCTTCACTGACCGGGTGAGGCTGCCCAGGGAGGCTGAGCCCATCCCCAGACAGGCCGGGCCCCTCCTGAGGGCCTTTCTGGGGGCACCCTTGTCCAGCAGTCACAACCCCTAGGATGGGTCCACCTAGATAAGGAGCTGCAGGACCCTGTGTGATGCAGCCTGGGTGGGGCAGGGACTGTAGGGACCAGAGGCAGGAGGGTGTCCTTACCTGTGCTGGCACCTCCACTGTGCCCCGCTCAGGAGCCTGCTGTCCCCACAGACCCTCCCCCCGAAGCTCTGGGACACCTACATCCTGGACAGTGAGCACGTGCTCATGGCCATGACCCACACTGTCCTCACAGTGCACAAAAGTGAGTCATCCAGGTGTGGAGACCAAGGCCACGCAGGCGGGTGGGAGGGCAGGCTGGCAAGCGAGCTGGGCAGGGTATCCTCTGGAGAAGCAGCAGGACGGGGCGGCCTTTTGCTGTGGCCCTGCCTGAGGCTCCCCTGCGCACAGCTAGAGCCCCAGTGGTGGTGCACAGCAGGACCCAGCCACCGCCCACAGCAGGTACTCCAGGGTCGGGGGCTGAGACAGCCCACCAGGGTCCCTGCTGGCCTGATGGCACCCCTACCCCTAGAACGCTTCCTGAAGCTGCCCCTGGAGGGCCTGTGGGAATTTCTGCAGGACACGCTGTCCCAGCCCTGGGCCCCGGAGGACAAAGTGGTGCTTAGGCAGCTGCAGGCCTCGATGGCCGAGCTGCGCAGGATGAAGTGTGACCTGCCCCCACAGGTGGGCTCAGCAGGGGTCTCCACCTGACTCACCCTCTAGACCCCGGGCCTTCCTCCCCCATCCCTGTCCATCTCCTCTTCTGTTCCAAGACTCAGCCACTAGGCCAGGGCTGGGCAGAGGGCAGACCCCGCAGATGCTAGAGGTCAGCGGCCTGGAGGTGGCGCTGTGTCAAGATAGGGCGGCCACACAGGGCCCCATGGGCTGCACCTCCACAGGCCAGGAGGACACGCTGACAAATGTGCTAACTTGCAGTGACACCCAAGGGGTTCCCCACGAGGCCCCTGGGCCTGGAGCAAGCGTCCCCAGCATCCAGGCCTCTCACCTCTCCTAGCATGGACACGCTCCCCGGAGAGGACCAGCTGGCCCTCCCTGGCCCACCTGCCCAGCACGAGAAGCCCGAACCCTCACCCGGCCAGGTCATTCCAAAGGCCAAGGAGCAGCCGCACGAGGGGGCCACGTTCACAGGCTTGCCTCTGGCCATCTGGGAGGCTTCCAGTCTGGCCTGCCTGTCCCCAGCCCAGGACAGCCCTCAGGATTGGCTGCAGCCATGGCAATGGACTTCCCTCCCCAACCTCCCAGTGAACCACAAGGCTACGGGCAAGTGGCCCCCAGACATCAGCTGTGAGCCAGAACGCTGGGTCCCTTGCCATTCAGCCCCTTCTGAGGCCACCCCCAGGGCCACACAGGCCTGGCCCTGCAACCCCATTGAGGCCCCGACGCAGGCTCCACCCAGCCCTCTGCAGATGCAGCCACAGGGCTCAGGACAACCCCCTGCCCCGCGAACCCTGTGGCCAGTGCCCCTCCCAGGACAGCGAGCAGCACGGCCAAGGCAGAGCCAGCGCAGCGCCCCAGGAGCAGCCCCAGGGCCCCACACGTCTCCACTACGCCGACTTCCGAGTCCACAGGGAAGCTGGATGCTCAGAGGCCTCCAGAGGGAGCGGTGATTCCCGAGGTCTCGGGGAGCTAGCTACGCACCCTGCCTCTTCATGCTGCCCTTCCTAGAGGACACTGCCACCCTCACAGGGCACAAGCCCCTGACCCAGTGGGGCCTGGCCTGACCACAGGCCCCAAGAGGGCAGTGGCACCATGACCCCTACCACAGCCAGGACGAGGAGTGGAGGAACAAAGTGCCCCGAGTTCTGTCCCAAGGCAAAGCGAGCCCTCTCGGAGCTGTATCTGGCCCCCTGGGGCCTGGATGTGCCCCGCAAGGCCACCTCGGTGATGTGAGGGAGCTCTGGGAGCCACAGGCCACCCCACCGAGGGGTGGCAGGGGTGGGCGGAAAAGCCCCACCCTTGCACACATAATGAGGCAGGAGCAATCAGATGCCAGGCCCCAAGCAGCCTCCTGACCCTACGTGGCGGAGCCGTGAGGCCGAGCTGAAAATGCTGGGGCCCTGCTCCAGGTCGGGCTGAACCCGACAGGCTGGGACCCCTTCTGTCAAAATTAGTAACTGCCTTTCAGGGTCCCAAACAGCCAGAAAATACGACCCCACCCGGAGACAGAAGGAGCCCCCCCCCGACTCCCAGAACCAATTCTGAAGAAGGCCACCTTCCAAGGGGAAGGATCGTGCCTTTGGTCTCAATTTCCCCCTTGCTGGTTAAAGGTCAATAAAGTTGTTTTGTGTGTTACGTGCTAGACTGGCCTGTTCTTGTAGCACCAGAGGTCTCTGCGTGACCCACCCGGTGCCCCCAGAAGCAGAGGGACCACTGGCCAGGGAAGCTGACGTTCCTGCCTGCCTTCTGGGAGGCCACGCACCTCAGCCTCCTAGCCTCAGCTGAACGCCAGGGTCAAGACCATCAAATAATTTACTGTGATCGGCCTGCGCCCAGCGGGTCAGGACAGGGCTGGAGGAGAGGAATCGCTGGGGTGCCGGTAGCGTCAGTTCACGACAGTCTGTGCAAATGTCCCAGGAGGCCTGTGGTCACTGTGTCCACCGACCTGGGCTGGCCGGGCTCCAGCGGCACTTCCTTCCTTCCCTTCTTCCGTCCCCTGCGTGGGCCTCCTCCCGGCATCCGGCACCTCCACTGGCAGGGACTGTGCCGGGCGGGGCCGGGGACCAGCCAGATGTCGGAGGATGGGCTGTCAGGACAGCAAGCACTTGCAACTCATGCAGCCTGGGCCGCCCTCATCAGGCGGGCTCAGCTTGCGCACCTTGTGCTGCCGGATCTCTCGCACCAGCGTGTAGAAGGCGTCCTCCACCCCCTGGGAAGGAGGGACAGGCTCAGAGGGGCACTGCCTTAGCCTCCGGCAGAATCCCGGTCCCTTCCCCACCCTCCCACAAACAGGGCCCCGGGGGCCACCCCATCAGGTGGCCTGTCCCTCAGCAGCTCCCCTGAGGGATTAGGGCCGAAAGGGACCCAGGGGGTGCTCTCGGGGCACAGGGGCCAGGCCCCAAGGTCACAGCTCCAGCCTGGCTCAGGGCAGCTCTCTCCAGGGACCTCCACCTCCCACCGGAGTCTGTTGGCCCAGCCCCAGGCCCTGGCCTCCCTCACTGCCCTGCCGTCCGGGAAGACTTACAGCGCCAGGGGCTGCTGGGTCCCGGGGGTCCCGGAGGGTCCCAGGGGGTCCCGGAGCTGGAGCCTGAACCAGAGTCTGCCCTGTGTGGAGGGAGAGGGGCAGTGAGCTCTGCTCTGGGGCCGGGGTGGGGCGGGGCGGGGCCCTGGCTGGCTGGGGGGCGGGGAGCTGGCTTACCTGGCGAGTCTTGGCTGAAGTCTCAATGTAGGGGATGCCGTAGCTGCGGGCGAGGTCCTGGGCTTGCCGAGCCTCCACGGTGCGGGCGGCCAGGTCACACTTGTTCCCCACCAGCACCATGGGCACGTCGTCCGAGTCCTTCACCCGCTTGATCTGCTCCCTGCAAAGGGAAAGGTGTGAGCCAGCAGGCGGGGTGCAGGCACAGCTGCATCCAAAGCAGGCAGAGAGAGGTCCAGCCCGCGGGCAGCTCACCTGTACTGGTGGATGTCCTCAAAGGACTTGGTGTTGTTGATGGCGAACACACAGAGGAAGCCCTCCCCGGTGCGCATGTATTGGTCCCGCATAGCACTGTACTCCTCCTGGCCTGCTGTGTCCAGGATGTCCAGCAGGCATGTCTCCCCATCAATGACTACTTGCTTCCGGTAGGAGTCCTAGGGGAGGACACTGTTTAGAGACCACCATCCTTGCTGGGATGGGACGTTCACACCACTAGCCCCTCTATTGCTCCTCTTATGCCCCTCCAGGTCCTACAACCAGGGAATTCTCCCTGTAGAGCAGGTGGAAGACAAACCCCCATCAGGATCCACCTGGGGAGGTTGCCAGCCCGGCTCACCTCTATGGTGGGGTCGTACTCGTCCACGAAGTGGTTCTGAATGAGCTGGATGGTCAGCGCGCTCTTCCCCACGCCTCCGGCGCCCACCACTACGAGCTTATATTCCGTCATCGCTCCTCAAGGGACCGCGGCACTCGGCACTGCAGTGGTCTCCTGTCCCACCTGCTGAGAAAGCTGCACTCAGCCACAGCCAGACTACCCAGGGCCAGCCCACTGAGCTCCCAAGCCTGCCTGCCCTCTGGGTCCGTACATCCAGGTAACAGGGGTGGTAGCCAGAATGGTGACCCAACCGCTCACGTGTGGCACCCCCAGCTCAGAGAGGAAGAGGGTCCTGCCTCCAGCCACACTTAAGGACTGTGTGAGAGAAGCAGGGAGCCACCCCTGCAGGGCTGACAAGCATGCACCCAAATTAGAAGCTGCTGGGTAGGCAAAAAACCTGAACTGGAGGTGCTGCGGGCTGAGGTTACCAGCAACCCCCCACAAGAACAGGTCCTGCCACAGCAGCGGGCACAGGAGCATGCCTAGACAGGTCAGTGGCAGCCAACACTGGGCTCTGGCCCCGCCAGGCACGCTGGTCCACTTGACAAGCATTCACTGAGCGCCTACTGGGTGCAGGGCGCGGTTACAGGCACAGGGTGACAGCAGGCAGAAAGAACGCCTGCCCCATTGGGCTCAGGCTATGCTCCAAGGAAAAGACCCACATACTTAGAATAAACAGAAACCTTGGTGCCCTGTTGCCCTAACTTTTGAGAACGTAAGACGTTGAGGAGGCCGGGCGGGGGGCCAGGGCTCCAGGAAGCATAAGCTGATCAAGGGAAAAACACCCAAAGGAGGTGTGGGAACAGGGGCACAGGTGAAAAAGAAAAAGGGGCCTCAGGCAAGGCCCCCGGCTGGGGGTGTCCCAATTTGTGATGTTTAAAGACGGGGGTGCCCTTGTGGGGACAGTGGGCAGTGATTT